AATGTAAGCTTAAATGTAAATAGATAGAAAAATATGTAATCTTAAAATATAAAATAATAAAAGAAAAGAAAATAAAAAAGGTGAAAAAAGAAACACCCATTGATGAACAAAGTCCCTGATCTCCTCATGTCAGGGGAACTAGAAAAAAAAAAAAAAAAAAAAAAAAAAAAAAAAAAATATATTTAGATTTATTTATACTTTTACTTGTTGCTGATAGCAAATATTTACAATTTATTTTTATTTTCTTTTCACTACGCAAGATTTTTTTATACCTCTTGAAAGCCAATAATTTTATTATTTCTTAATTTGGTTGGAAAACATAGGTCGAAGAACAGTTTGTAAATACTATGAAAACTTGAAAACGCTTTGTTGGTGTCTTGTTCAGTATAGATTTCAGAAAAGAATATTGATTTTATACATTCCAAGAACTTTTCTATGTTATCTTTCGTAAAGTCTCTTTTTTCTTCTAGCCAGTATTTTATTGTTTTACTTACTTTTATAGGAAGCTCTAGTATTTGTCACGTGTAGTCAGAGAGGCCCAAATAACGTATAGAACCTTTTGCTTGTGTAACATTGCTTATTAAGTGATCAATACATGAATTAATTCTGGTTGGGGAAGTTATGTGCTGTATTAAGTTAAAATTTAGTAATAGGTCTTTAAAGTCTTTAGAGTATTTACTAACCTTCAGTGTGTCTATATTTAAATCTCCTGCGATGATTATTCGTTTTCTATTTCCTCTTGATAATTTTAATAATAATTTATTTAATTTTTAGAAAAATATATATATGTCTGAATTTGGTGTTCGATATATGCATAAAATTATAAGATTAATGTTACTGATTTCAATTCCGCAACATTCAAAATGTTTTGTCATTTCATATTCTTTCGTAATCATTAAATCATTATAATCTATATTTTCTTTTATAACTATACATACTCCGCCACGTCTTTCGTCGTTCTTGATCTGGAGTAGAATGATGCTAGCTTAAAACCCGACAGCTCAAGGTTAGGTTCTTCGCCACTTTTTATAAAGGTTTCAGTAAAGCAAATGATTTGAATATATTTATTACTATTAGCTAGTTCATTCAAACTTACTACAATCAAATCTTGTCTGTTTAAAACTCCAGCAATATTTTGATGTAAAAGAAGTAGCTTCTGATTTGAGTAATTTTTATCGAAAAAACATTTTTTTATTATTTGATGAGGAACCTATGCAAGGGTTTGCTATAGCATTATTTATATCTACGTTACAACTTTTCAAAGCTCCTCCCGTGGATTTAAAATTATTCATTTTCATTTTTTCAAAGAAATATTCTATAGTACCCTTCTTATAATTAATAACTTCATGAACTTTTTGATTTTTCATAAGTTGTTTTTTGAAATAATAGGGTATGGTTCCTTTCTTAGGTTCGTCTATAAATGAGGTTCTATCCACATTTTTTTAGTCAAGTTATTATGCCTACTTTTCTGCACTATAAATTGTTTATCATACTCATGACTATCTATAGAAATGTTAATAGAATAACACAGGTAATTTTTGTAATCGGTTGTTGAATTTACATTATAGTATTTGTAATCAATGTCAATAAACCTACAATTTTTGTGATTTTGAGTCAATATTTTATACATATTATTTAACATTTTTTCACTCAAAAACAAATTACTTAGTACCTGTAATAAATAAACATTAGTTTTGCGAATGTTTATACAAAGCAACACTAAGATTAGAGTACAATTTATACGGAGTTTTGTCATGGCTCCCAACGCACAGTATAACATAGTCACTTAATGTTACTGTCTCTTCGAGTTAGTTACAATGCATTAAGATATCACATGAAGAAGCGTTTGGTTTTATTATAGCTAATGGCATATACTTATTATTCCATTTTCCTTCTCTTGATTTGTATAAAGCTGAAGATAAACCCGACGTATTTTCATCCCCAAAAATTGTGATCGTATTTTTTTTCATTTTGGGTACTTCTGTATATGTTGTTATAGGTAAAGATGGCATACGTGTTTCACTGAGTGTATTGCTTACATCTTTCTTCTTTTCTATGCAAGTTTCTTGCAGTTTTAAGTCCTTTTCTATAGTCGAATGAGTGTTTAAACTTTGCCCAACTTTTATTTTACTATTCGTATCCTTCGAGATGGATATAATTTTATCTAACTTCATCGGTGTAATTTTATCTAACTTCATCGGTGTTAACCTTCGTGGTGATACTTCTCCATTTGATAGAAGTTTCTTTTACATATCGAGCTTCTTTTGCTGTTCAGTAATTTTCTTTTGATGTTTTGTGATTTTCAAATTTAATAAATCTATTTCATTGTGTGCACTAGATAGTTGTATAGAAAGCGCATGTATTTCATCTCTAAGATCATTAATCAGTGAGCTTTCCGTGGTTGTTAAATTAGGTAAACTTTGTGAACTATCATCTAAAAATGTGGAATTTTCTATGTTCTCATTACTTGATATATCTTCAATTGAAATATGTTTACCTTAATTGTTTACTCTTGTTAGCTTTCTCTGTGTTATGTTTTCATCAGTAATCAAGGTTTTTTTTAATGATCATGATTCTGTGACATTGCTTAGTCCTTGTGGGGTTTTAGCTTCTGTAACATCTGTATTCTGTCCCAAACATGTTTGGCACTTCCATTTAAGTTTGTGTTCTTTGGTCATTAGATAAAAGCATTTGGATGTAAGACTTAAGCATTCAATTTCATAAACAAATTTGCAATCGTAACATTTAAGAAATTCCTTATGACATATTTCTTTATCACATTTGTTGCATATTATTTTTTTACCCCTTGATGCCATTTTATAAGAAATGAAAAAAGATAATAAATTTGTTAAATGCGTCAGAACCGATCCTCCGACCTTTTGATATTATCACTCCGAACTTATCATTAGGCTACGCAAACTTGTGAAATGTTGATGAAATTGTTGTTATAATTGAAAACTTGACAATGATGAATGACAATGTTGATGAAATTGTTATTATAATTGAAAACTTGAAAATCATAGACATGTTTTATCAAAATCGGTTAAGCCGTTTTAATAGTATATTAAAAACGTACGTTTCGTAAGCCTAAATAATATCCGAGTTTAATGTATGTACTTTGCTATCGTTAAAAAAAATATAACAAAAACTAAGGATAAATGCGAGCCGCGAGTTTGATACTTCTGATATCGGGCCACGAGTTTGATTTTGAAGTAGGAAGAAAATATTATTTATGTATATTTTGCGATTTGTGTATTTTGCGACCCGCCAATACAGTTGGTTGAGGAGCACTGCACTGCGCTGCTACTAGGTGCTAGATAGTTGGCAACTTTGGTAAGATACCTATCTATCTAAACAATCAAAGTAGACAAGTAGGTATGTTTAGTAGAGCAAGGATAGGTAGAGAAGAATGATAAGCACACACACAGCAGTGCGTTTTAGTTTTAGGGCTTATTGAATCGACTCTTTTTACGGCTGTCATCCACTTTTTCCTCATTTTTGGGTCCTCAGGCACATAAAAAAAAAGTTTATCAGGTGTTTAACTGTTGAATTGAAGCACTAAGACACAATACAGTATTTTTCTTTTCCATTTTTACCACAGAGAACTTTAAAATTCTGATTTTTACTGCGCAGCGGCGTGCAGACGAGAGCGCGATTCTTGTATGAGCGAGGGTGTGACGTCATCGGTTAGTGAGCGCCCGCCCGCGTTTTTAAAATCTTCATTAGGAAACACGTACTTTGATCGTTATTATCTCAGCCAATTTTTAAGATATGAAAAAAGTAAAAACACAGTTTTTCTCGTATTATTTTATAGATTTATTTCGCATGTAAAGGAAAAAACGTTTGTCAGACCCATTCTGTTGGTGATATCCATGGAAATATATGTACTTCGGTTTGTCTATACTTCCGTGATGATATCGAACATTTCATATTTATGTGTGAGTGCTTTTCATTTGACAGATTGATCTTGTCAGTTGTCAGTGAAATTAGTGACATAGTGCAAAATCAAGTGACAATGCAAGATCCCTCCCGCCACCTAAGTGATATGTTAAAAAATAAGTCCTATTACGTGCCTCTATATAAATATATCAAAAATACAGTGGTGAAATTATAATAAACCGAATATAAATACTCAAGACTTGACCTAAAGGTCTAGATACCAGGCCAAAAACTCCAAAAAAACAACATATCTGTTGCTTAGATTTTTTAATTATCTATTGCGTTGATGGAGGCCATAGACTTGTGGAGTTTTGGCGGGAACTTGACCGGCGACGGTTTGCTGCTCCTGTTTTTTTGTTTAAATAATGGTTTGAAGTGGACTTTGATATTTAAAAGTGGTGCGATTTTGTGTATTAAGTGTCTGCACATGTGAACTATTAGTGGAAACTGTGAAACAAGTGCTCTGATAGTGATGTGATTCTCAAAATAAGGTGCCTGTCTGCTTAGGCGCCTTGAGATTGAGATACCATGGCTAACCGTCAGCTGTCTGCTGGCTCAAGTTGCCGTCAAAATCTCCCAAGGGCTGCACTATGTGACGCATCAACATTTGTAAAGCAGTATACTATGAAGAATAATTATTATAATATAATATTGTAACTTCAGGCTCAGAAGGGCTAGATCCCAGAGCCGTAAAGCCAGTTATTAAGAAAAAAAAGCCATACACTTGTATTAGTGTATTATCTATGCTTGTATCTCCTCTCCTCTCTCCAGTATTATATATTAGTCTATGCTCTCCTCTATCTAGCTATCTACGATAGAGGCAGTAATTTGAATTTTGTTTGATTTTTTCATGATCAAAGAATTTTTACAGTAAAAGCACAAATTATAAAGTTGTATGTACAAGAGTAAAAGTAGTCTGTGACAGTAATAGTCAAGTAGTAAAATCGAATTATTATATGTAATGTGATTCATATGTCATTATTATATTAAAGCACCCAAAGTGCCTATATTTAAGATTGCCGGTGTTTGTTGTTTTTGAATATAAAATTATTTTAGCTAAAATGAGCAACAAGCAAACGAAACAAGCAAATAAAAAGGATAATAAAAAGAAGGAAAGTGATAAGAAAAAACAAACCTCTATGACGTTTTCGGTAAGTTTCCTTATCTAAAATAAAACCTTTTACAACTTACAACCAACCTAATAAATTTTGTTAACATTGTAATGTTCTAATCAGATAATATTATTTCAGTTGGGGAAGATATTTACGATCTTTGCAGTTCTAGGTATAGTAGCATCTTACTATGTCTACAAAGTACTTACAACAACACCGGAATTACCTAATATTGACATGAATGAATATTGGGGTCCATACCCTATGGATCTCAAACAAGATTTATCAATAAGGTCTTACAAGATAGAATTTTCAGATGTAGTAAGTGATTTTTATATTCATGAAGCTAATATTAGATTGGTTGCATGACTTACTTTACATGTTGTGCATGAATTATTGTTTACTTGTATTGATTGATGCTATTGAAGTGTAGGGCATCCCCCCACTAGATGGAGTGAATACTTGGTAAGATATGCAGGAAGTCATTAGATGCAGGTGACTTGGGATTCCTTGAGGGAAGCCTATGTTCAACAGTGGACTTGTGATGGGCTGTAATGATGATGATGATGAATGATGGGTAAAGCTATAGACATCTGATACTCGTGTATGGGGAAGGGGAGTGTTCAGGGGAAGCCCCTTCTCTATCCTACCCTTCCCCATTGTCGAAATGTATAATTTGTGAGTAATTTTTTTTTGTAAAATAATAATCTCACTTTTTTACATAGGAATATTGACAGAGTTACTTCTGCAACAGCTTCAGTGCTGCGGGAAGTGCAGCCCATTCGCCCTTGCATAACAAATCACAGGCACCCATGCTCACCTCTGCAACTTTGGCAACCAAACTCAGTCTCTATGGCTCGCACAGATGCCTGCGATTCGCCACAGTAGGCGGGGGCTGTTTTCCCTCCACACCTACGGCTTTAAAAAAAACTCTAGGGATAGGGCAGACATGACTATGTGTAGTCGGGTCGTTCTGATTCTGTTTTAGTACAGATTCAACCTATTTATAAAGTCGGATTGCCCTAAATTCTGCCATGTTAGTGGTAAATTGAACAATGTAATGTGAATTGTTATAATTTTTGTTTTCTGAAAAAACCTCTTGACTGCTCTCCATTGCGACTCAATTCATTGTGTATGTCTCATCTTCAGGCAAAAATGGATTGTTTGCATCCGAGTAATTAACTTTTTTTAGGTGACCTGTTTCGTTATATGCGATTTTTAGTTAGTGAAATTTATTTTTATTGTAATTAATTTAAAACACATTTCCAAAATCCAAAAACAATATAAAAGGTTCAAGCTTAACCCTGACAAACCTCGCTAAACTGAAACCATAATTAAAATCAAGTACTCAACATCTACTTCATAATACTAGACCAAATTGACATATTTGCATTCCGTTATAAACAATTTTTAGTGAAAGTTATTTTTATCATAATTATTTCAAAATGCATTTCCGACATCCAAAAACAGTGTTAAAGGTTCAAGCTTAACCCTGACAAGCCTCCTGAACTGAAAACATAATTAAAATCAAGTAGAATTTCCCGTTATCACCATATCTTTCATTCTGCTTGCAGAAAAGTCACAGTGAAAATTCACAATGAGTGTCACATTGATAATGTCATATACTTGGAATAATGGAACATGTTGTAACTAAGACTATGTGCAATTTGGGTTTAGTTTGAGTAATCATTTTATTATAACTCATATATAATATTGAATACATAGTTGATAATAACCCCTGGATATGAGGTGGTCGCTTCCAAGCAGTTTCTAAAATAAATTTTGTAAATAGTTTGTACAACCATTAATGTAAAATTTACTTTTAAAAAAAGTCCCACTGGGTTTCTTGCTGGTTCTTCCCAGGACAGACGGTTTTTTCGAACCAGTGGTAAAGTAAAAAATTACTTTCAATAAGAATTACACATGTGATCAATATTGAATAAAAATTATTCTATTCTATTCTATATGCCTATATATTCTATTGTAGTATGTTGCAATTTTCCAAAAAGTCACTGTGATTTTCTGACATAGATATTAAAACCTGTAATGTGACCAGATTGATGATATAGCATGAAGGTCTGTCATTACCACAATCATTTACATAATTCATGTCATCCTTTATTACCGTCGTCATAAAAATGTAATAAAAATCAATTCAAATATTTCAGATTGTGAATGACCTCAGAGAAAGACTTCTTCATCGCAGACCATTTCCTCCACCTCTTGAAGATGCTGGATTTACTTATGGCTTTAATTCAAACTTTCTAACCAGAGTTCTTGATTATTGGCAAAATAGTTACAATTTCAAGGATAGAGAACAATTCTTCAATAAATACAATCATTTCAAAACAAATATTCAAGGGCTGGATATTCACTTTATACATGTTAAGCCAAATGTGCCGAATACTATTGTAAGTGTACTTTTTTTAAATATCAGGAAAACAACTAGGTATATCAACAACTTGGAAATGTAGTTTATTTCGTCAACTTGTTTATACATTAACATTAAGAGCTGTTTAAAATTTTTTTTTGTTGAAAAAGTTTTATTATGCTACTAAAGAGTAAATGATTAATAACATGATTGCTATCATGCTGTTTTTAAATGCTCTCATATTATTTAATTTTACAATATTAGATTGTAAATTAATATATTTTTTTAAATAGTCCTGCTGGGTTTCTAGCTGGTTTTTCCCAGGACAAAGGTTTCAAAATTCAAAAGAAAATGAAATGTTGTTTGTTGAATAATAGTTTATTAAATAACCATATTGTTTCATGGGTGTCGTAAGAGGTGACAGAGGGAAATAAACCAAGATATGGGCAGCAGCATCTTCCTAATAGCAACTAAAAATTAAGAAACTGCAGTAAACAACTTAAAAAAAATCCTATGAAGGAATCTATGGGGGAGGCCTATGATCAGTAGTGGACTTTGATAAGCAATAAGTATTACCATAATGGCTAATAAAACATAACTGTGTTATATTTAATATCTAAAGAATCATGTACTGATAAGATCTAATAGCATTTTTTATCGATTCATAAATCAACTTTGTTAATTCTTTAGAAACATCTGTGAAATATTATTAATGCTATTATATTATATATATCACCCTGTAGTGACAGCGTAAAGGCATTCACTATCCTATATTTGGCTGTTTTGTAACTGGCTACAGAGAAAAATAAAACAGGATATGGGCAGCAAAAACGGCAGTTGCCAAAGCCAAAATCTGTGGTGCCATCATTAATCATTAGGGTACCTAACTTCTACATAGAGGTTATCTAAAAAATTGTTAGTTTTCCAATGTGATGTTATCTATATTACATATTAAATGCAATGTATGCAATTTAAAAAACATTTAAAATTTTTTGAATGTCAGCCAATACATGTCCCATTGCTGAGATAGAAATCTTTTTCTTTACAGTTTATAGCCTTACTTGATAGAACTGTGTCAATGTCAAGTCAGCCATGAGAGTTGAAATTATGATGGAAAACAACAAGATAGTTTCCCCTTACCAAATTACTTATTATTAGTCCTCAACTTCCCTACCCGCAAAAAAGACACAATAGTTAACCAATCAAAATGTCCATATATGACTCACGGTAGAATAAAGTGGTTAACACTTACATTTTGTTAACCTTTATATCTTGATACATCTAAGTATATAATTCTAAAAATCTATCCTTTTTGTAGTTCCTGCTTTTAACACATTACAGGTAGTGCCTTTGTTACTACTCCATGGCTGGCCAGGCTCTGTAAGAGAATTCTATGAGATCATTCCAAAATTGACAACTCCTACACCAGGGTACAATTTCGTCTTTGAAGTCATTGTGCCAAGCTTACCTGGATTTGGATTTTCACAAGTGAGTTTAAATTGTTTTTATTATGATATTCCAAAAAGATGTAAACATTTTCGACTGTGATTGCTCACATGATATTTTTCATATTAGAAGTGTTTTAAAATATTTTTCAATTAATTTAAAATATTTTTTTCTGCCGACTTCATAAAGGAGATGGTACTCAATTCGACTGTATGTTTTTTTTAATTATTATTATGTGTTACCTCATAACTTATTATTGGGTGAACCAATTTCGATAATTCTTTTTTTATTTGAAAGCTGGTACTTCACATGTGGTCCCATATGAATTTGATCAAGGTCAGACCAATTGTTTTTGAGTTATTCTTAATAATTTATATTGAAGTCGGCTGTACAAAATGTCAAATTTTAAATTATAAAGTCCAAGCAGCAACTATTAATGAGAGAAGGAGAAAGTAAATGTTACTGCACTCGAAATGTCGAGAAAAAAAAACTACACTGTTTCTATTCTCAATGTAAGTATTATTGTATTATTTATTTGCATAAATATATATAAGTAATCATTATGTAAAAAAATATCTTATACCACCATATATCACACACAAGATGTTCGTTTATCAACCCTTACGCCATACACAAAATAGAGTCATGTTCATGGCTTTTTCAACAATATACCAGACAGTATGCACAACTCGGAAGATTTACTCCTACACACACCAATGGACAGTCGGATTAGTGAACACAGAACCAAAGCCCTCTTATCACTAATAAGGCTCCCCATCACCAATCTGTACGTTAATTTGTTTACTTTGTATTTAGCGTTTTTTATAAATGATGAGGATGAGTAATGTGCACTGATGATAAGTGGATGACCTACATTTAGTTCCTCCTCGTTTGAGAATATATTTATTGCAAATGTATTCATTGTTCTCATTACTTATATACTGTATTGGCATTATTTATATGCCGTGAAGCAAAACCGGTTGATGTTTATAGTTTATAAATTAAAATAAATATTAAAAGAAATACTTGTTTATCTGATAATCCATCCAAATTACGAAAACTAAGATAGAATACCTCAATACCTGTAAAAAGGCTGGTTCTTTACACTTGTCATATGAAACACAACAGCATTAGGCTGCTATTTTATGCTGGTATTCTGTGAGAGAGTCCTTCCCTGGTTGAGCTATCCCATTAAGGCTGCAACCATATAGCTGAAACGTGGCTTAAAAACAGTGTTAAGTGATCATTAGTTAGTTGTGAGGTCTTTATCTATCAACTACCAAAGTTGATGGGCTTCTGTTCCAGGCAAGTGCTCGGCCAGGTTTGAGCCCATCAAAAATAGCAGTAATACTGGCTAATTTAATGAAACGAATTGGTCATGAACACTACTATATTCAAGGCGGTGATTTCGGACACACAGTGGGCTCGATAATGGCGACATTATTTCCCGATAAGGTGCTTGGGTTCCACACTAACATGCCAACAGTCATGTTTAACAAGATGGCATACTTGTATATATTCTTAGGTATGTATTTCATATACACTTTTTTACTATTATTATTATTTTCCTTATATATATTGGACTAAGTAATAACTATTTAATAAGATATATTTAGTTTAAAAAATAATGCATACACAGTTGATGATGCAGTCTGGTTAATGACATGTAGATGATTAATGGAGACATATTGTATATTTTCTGGGATTTTGTTGTATAAGCATAATATATAGCATTTGGCAAATGACGAACCTTGCTTGGTTCTTTAAATAACATTATTAAAATATAAAAAATATAATTTTTATTCTTTAATATAGATCTCATAATATGTATCTTTGAAATTTTGAAAATCAATCTGCAATGAAAAGATTTTTACACAACTCTTATGACCACCACTCACCAACTGTTATACAAAAGCGTGCTTGGGATGCACGCACACACTCATATTATCTATACTCTCTCCCTCTTTTCATCTCTAAATTTCACTTACTAATTATTTACAAATTCCAATTTTGAACAAATAGACGGCTCCGTGACGGCAGGGCCGCAGATTCGAATCCCGCACGAAACAAGTATTTGCCTACAAATAATTGTTCCGGGTTTAATTGTTTGGCCACACTAGAATTTTCTCATGCTAAACTTAACTGTTAAAAATTGTTGGTTACCATAAGGACTAAGCTTTAAATCAATATTTTCATTTCCCTTTCCATTCATAAATTACAGTAGCTGTAGTGTTGCTTTCTTTATTTGAACTTGATTCCAAGTGCCCGTGGGCTGCAGTAACCACTGACTATAACCTAGATGATAAGTTCACTTATAACTATAATAAAAAATAATAACGAATGTCTTCCTTTTTTCAAACTCTAGGTTCATTCTGGCCCAGTCTCATTGTGGAACCAGAGTTGCAGTATCGTATGTATCCATTGAGTAAACACATAGCAGGATTGCTGGAAGAATCAGGGTATTTGTACATTCAAGCAACCAAACCTGATACAGTTGGTGGGTTGAAAAGTTTTAGCTTCTGTTTTAAATTTTTGTTTGACAAGCAAAGTTAGATGTAGGTGGAGCTCTGACATGCTTTCTTGTATATATTTTTTAATTGTAGTTTGAGACCACTTATAACTTCTTTTATAACCAGTGGTAAAGTAAAAAATTACTTTCAATAAGAATTACACATGTAATGTATATTGAATAAAGATTATTTTATTCTATTCTATAACTAAATATATTATTACTTTATAGTAAAGCTTCGTTAAATGTATCGTAAATCTTTATCTTATTAATCTTATTAATTCTTACATAATGGGGCATACAATTTTATTACTTTAAAAAAACATTGAGTTAAAAAAAGATCCCAAGAGAAATTTCGAGAAATGGTTATGCTTTTTTATAATAGCAGCAAAGTTTAGTTCAGTTTAATTCACAATGTGCTATGTATTTTAGTACCGTGTCGCATTTTAATTATATCTACGAATTATGACTATTATCCTCTTAATAAAATTTACAGGTATAGCTCTGACGGACTCTCCAGCTGGTTTAGCGGCATATATTCTAGAAAAGTTTTCTACATGGACAAATCCTGATTACAAAAAGGCAAATGATGGGAACCTTCTAGCAAAATACTCACTAACACATCTCTTAGATAACGTCATGTTATATTGGGCTTCTAACAGTATAACTACATCAATGAGAATGTATGCTGAAGCCTTCAATAAAAAGGAGCTCAGTCTCCAGTTAGCCGAGTAAGTAGTTTTTATTTACAGAATAATGTAGAGATGTAGGTAGTACAGGCCTGTAAACTCGCCGAATGCCATGTGCCGGCGCCACTAAAATAACTAATGAGAACTACCAGCTAGAAGTCTAACATCATCAGTTCTCTTATGTGGCGGTTGTGGTTGTATTATGGTTGTAGCACGAATGGGTCGGCTAGACCAGGGAAAGACCAAGCTCTCACAGAACACCAGCGTAAAATAGCTCAATGCTGCTGTGTTTGTTACCTATGGTGAGTGTAGAAAACCGGTGAGCTTTTATTGGAAACGAGGCATTACATCTTATTCCTTAGGGGTGACAACGGATTCTGCCTTTTGATTCTTAATCAAGGATAGATGTAGATTTCTATGGGCTACAGCATCCACTTATCATCAGGTGGACTGTGTGCTCGTGTCACCCTCATACTTTAAAAAAAAAAGTTAATTTGTTAGTAAATTTTGTTGGTGAATTTTTAGCAACATGGATTAAAATCTGTAAATTAAGATAGACTTTTTGTACAAAATATAATATAGCCTATGTGCTATTCTGGTTTAAATTTTAATATTGCCAAGTTTCGTCAGATTTTGTTTATTAATTTATCCGTGATTGAGCCATAATATACAAATATCCAAACAAACTCACATTTATAATATTAATGCATAAAACACTTTAAAAAAAAGTCTAGCTAGAAACCGTAAAGCATTTGAGACCTAGGTCTAAACAGGTTAGCAGTAGAATAAATACGAGCTATACACAAATTCATTTAATTTGTAGAATTCCAACATCAGTGCCAACCTGGGGTATTAAATTTAAACACGAGATCGCATTCCATCCGGACTGTATTCTAAAGTTGAAATATAAAAACTACCTTCAAAGCACTGTGGTTGAGGATGGAGGGCATTTTGCAGCTTTTGAGAATCCTGACATATTGGCCAATGATATATTCCAAGCCGTCGATACATTCAGACAATTTCATAATCAGCAAAGGTAACACCTTTTTCCTTTATACATTGTTTATATTAATACAGATTTAAGAAGGATAGGATAGCAGACTCGACGACTTCCAGCCTCCCGAACAAGCAGGTTTCCGAAAAGACTTTAGCACCATTGACCATATACATATCCTTCGGCAAATTGTACAGAAGACTGAAAAGTACAATCTGCTACTTTGTCTTGCGTATGTGGACTATGAGAAAGCCTTTGATTCCGTCGAAATTTGGGCAGTGCTGCAGTCCCTTCAGCGGTGCCAAGTGGACTGTCGGTATATCGAAGTGTTGAAGTGTTTGTACCGTAGGGTTACGATGACTATCCGAGTACAGAAGCAGAGTACGAAACCTATCCAACTGCAGAGAGGTGTAAGACAGGGTGTCGTTATATCTCTGAAACTTCACCGCTGCATTGGAAGACGTTTTCAAGCTACTGGATTGGAAAGGATGCGGTATTAACATCAATGGTGAGTACATCACTCACCTTCGATTTGCCGACACACCTATGCCGGTAGTTATTGGGAGCTCTAAGCTCGAAGTCGTTGACGATGTTTACCTGGGACAAATAGTACGACTAGATAAGTCCAACTTTGACCGAGAGGTCAATCGACGGATTCAACTCGGCTGGGCAGCGTTCGGGAAACTACGACACATCTTCTCGTTAGACATACCTCAAAACCTTAAAACGAAATTGTACAACCAGTGCGTGTTGCCAGTGATGACTTACGGATCTTACTTACGTGGTCCTTCACTGCTGGCCGTATGAGGAAGCTCAAGGTCGCTCAGCGAGCTATGGAGAGGGCTATGCTTAGCGTTTCTCTGCATGATAGACTTGAAAACCAGGATATAAGGAGTAAAACCAGAGTAACCGACATAGCTCAAAGAATTAGTATGCTGAAGTGGCAATGGGCCGTCCATATAGCTCGAAGAACCAACAACCGATGGGGAAGAAAGGTTCTCGAGTGGCAGCCTCGTACCGCGAGGCGAAGTGTAGGCTGTCCCCCCACTAGATGGAGTGACGACCTGATAAGACATGCAGGAAGTCGATGGATGCAGGTGGCTCAGTACCGTGCTTTGTGGCATTGGGGGAGGCCTATGTTCAGTAGTGGACTTGTGAAGGGCTGTAATGATGATGATGATGATAAGAAGGATACTTTGGGGATATAAATGAAAGTGAAAAAATATTTAAGCCTGTGAAAGTGACATTAAAGATGTATAATTGAAATGCAAAAGATGACAGGTTATTCACCCTATCATCATCTGAAATGCTTAGATAGTAGCAGCTATTTTAAGTTTAACATATTCGGTATTGCTAAGCTCTTTAAGCTATTTTTCAGCTTTAGAATAAGCCCCATAACTTATCCACTAACTGAAATATTGTGTAATCAATTATTTTTCTCTCATGTTAGGTGTATCAGTGAATAAACATTATTCATACAAGCAAGCACAATATTCACATTTCAGTTATATTTGAATTTACAGGAATAACCAACAAGCAACAAGTGACAACGAATTACCTGATTATGAAACGGCAAAAACAATATATGAATTCACTGTAAAAGACATACATGGGAAAGATGTAAAATTAGACAAGTATAAGGGCCATGTGGCATTAATAGTAAATGTAGCGTCCGAATGCGGGCTAACGGACACGAATTACAAGCAACTAAATGAGTTGTACGAAAAGTATTCGACAACTAAGAACTTACGAATTCTTGCATTCCCTTGTAACCAATTTGGCGGGCAAGAACCTGGAACTCCCAAAGATATTTTAACATTTACTAAGAGCAAAGGTGTAAAATTTGATTTATTTGAAAAAGTGGATGTGAATGGAGAAAATGCACATCCACTATTCAAGTTCCTCAAACGTGTTCAAAGTGGAACACTGGGCGATTTTATTAAATGGAACTTTTCCAAGTTTATCGTTGATAAGAATGGGGTGCCTGTTGAGAGACTCGGACCAAATGTGAATCCATTAGATCTGGAGCCAATACTAGCTAAATATTGGTGAAAATAATTTGATTTTTAATATTTTTTTATATTTTTATACAAATAGATTTAGGTTGTAAAGCAATAAGTGATTAAAATAGTAAATACACACACGAACAATAAACAATAACACAAACTCCCATTAAATTAAAGTAAGCATTTTGTGATATTATAAAACTAAAAGGAAGAACGAATTTGTATAATGAAACATGTGTTAATATTGTCAACAAAACAGTTATGTACATTGCACATTGCTATTATAAATGTAAAATATAATAATTTTTGTAAGACTTATGAAAAAACGTCAAACTTCATTGTGAAAGAAAAACAATAATTAATTTAAAAATTAAAATATGCTAAAATGGTACAATTGTGTGTATTAAATATTTTATTGTATTAAATATTATATATTGTATCATTTTACAAGTGCTTCGATAAATCTCAATTTTTTTATCCACTTAAGCGACCGAAGATACTACCGTCATCATCTGTCCGCCGGGCAAAGTTTTCGTCTCCCAAAATATTTGCAAGGTATTTTATCAGCATATTGAAAAGAATTTTGTGAATATAATATATTTGACAGATTTCATAGCGGGGAAAGTTAGTTTTTTAGAAAAGTGTAAAGATTAATGTTTCTTTCCGAAATATTATATTATATTAATTAGATTAGAAATGGATAAACTAAACTACGGATATTCCTAAAAGTACAAGAATTAAGAAAGTTAAATATGTGTAAAAGTTTAAAGAATATAGCAATGAGGCATTGTTTGTGTAATGTGTAATGTTTATATACAATAAATATATATACAGGGCTATGAACACACGTACAAATTTGCAGAGGAGGTTCAGAATAGATAATATAAGCTAATGGAGGAAAAAAAATTTTTTGTCCTTTTTATCTTTTATATTGTAAATGTGTTGTAATGCACTATTTTGATTGTCATTCATAGATATGTAGCGCCTACTATTTTATTACGCACGTACACGTTCGTAAGGGAATGTCGAATTCGTCAGCAGTCGGTGGCGTTCAGCGCTCGCGCTCGGTTACACATTTAAGTATCTAATAGTTGTTTTGACTTAAAGACAAGCGCATTTCCCCGCCCTTTCCGTAAGCAGTTATACTGCTATAATACGTACGTTCGCCCGGCCTCATTATGTGTGTTATTTTTAAATTTTCGTAGGTGGTATTATTTGTCACTTCGTTAGCTATGACGCCACGAAAATATTCGAACCGCGAATACTATGACATGGTATGGTTTTACATTTTAAGCAATGAAAGTTTACGTGGTGCGCAAAGATTATACAAAGTGAGTTTACCTCGTTTGCAAAGACAAGGAAATAACGCATGTGTACCACCACGGAATCGGAGTACAATTTTGGCAGCAAACCATAGTCTGTTAGACTTTGGACAGTTCACCACTCTGATACATGAAAGTGCTGGAGGTGGTCATTCAATAATAAGCCCGGCTGTCGAATAAGCAATGATCGAGTTTTTCGAGCGAAACCCGCGCGCTAGCACCAATGATGCAGCTCGTGAATTCAGAGTTAGCCAGTACTACGTGTGGAAACTACAGAACTCTTCTGGATATCACCCATTTCATTACTAACATGTGCAAGCACTGAATAATAACAATGATCCATCTCGAGAACATTTTTGTGACTGGTTGTTGACAAACATTGATAACACTAACATAATGTGGACTGACGAAGTCTTATTTACGCGTGTAGGACTTTATAATAGCCGTAATAAACATATTGGGCAGTGTGCAACCCACACGAAGACAGTTATTATCAAGTGCGATTAGTGTAAATGTTTGCGGCTAACCGCGGGCTGCGGCTGCAGCCGCTGTAACAACACACCACCGCGGCCCAAGTGGCGGCCTGAAGCGCCATTCGCTGTGGTGTCTGTGCTACGATCGGACGTACGAACATGACAAACCGTGACGAAGTCTTTATTATATTCAGCAATATTATCATATATTTTGTTTTAATACTAATGCTTTTGTGATCACGATGCGAATTATCATAAAGTACTAGATAATTTTGCACTGTTTCTATTAAAATCTCTGAATTTAGCACCATTTTTGTCGCGGTACACGCGGCCTGTTGTAAAAATTTACAAGTGACCTCACTGCGGCCACCGACTGACCGCGTACTCGCTAACACACACGCATTGGCAAATGGGGCGGAGCATGCGGCCGCGGCCAGCCGCTGGCAGGCCGCGCCATGGCCGCATGGGTTTGGAGACTCACTTACATTGCAAGCGAATATAGCGGGCCGCCACCGCAAGCCGCTTCTGTGTGGGAGACGCTTAACGGGTCTCCCACACAGCCGCGGCTTGCGGTAGCGGCCGCGGTGGCGGCCAGTTGTATTCGCTTGCAATGTAAGTGAGTCTGTAAACTCGTGCGGCCATCGCGCGGCCTGCCAGCGGCTGGCCGCGGCCGCATGCTATGCCCCATTTGCCAACGCGTGTATGTTAGCGAGTACGCGGTCAGTCAATGGCCGCAGCGCGGTCAGTTGTAAATTTTTGCAACAGGCCGCGTGTACCGCGTGAAAAATGGTGCTAAATTCAGAGGTTTTAATAGAAACCGTGCAAAATTATCCTGTACTTTATCATAATTCGCATCGTGATCACAAAACAATTAGGATTAAAAACAAAATATATGATAATATTGCTGAATATAATAAAACTTCGCCACGGTTTGTCATGTTTACTGGCGTCCGATCGTAGCACGGACACCACAGCAAATGGCGCTTCAGGCCGCCATTCCGGCCGCGGTGGTATGTTGTTGCAGCGGCTGACGCCACGGCCCGCGGTTAGCCGCCACCGCAAGCCGCTTGTGTGTGGGAGACGCTTTATCATTCCTAATTAAACAATATAACTCTTCCAAATTTAAAACGATAATTTGACAATTATTTTTTTCTGTGGCAGCAACGCGCCGGCTAGTATACTTATATGTATATAATATGCATACACTAGAAACCGATTTTTTTTTATCGCAACTTCTATGTTGAT